GGTTATTCATTATTGTTGGGGCTCCTACCATAATGACACCATAGTCAAATAAGTAAAAGTTCACTCCAGTAACATAATTAAGGAGTTCAACTCACCAATGTAGACACTCATAAAAAACCCAGCACATATTGCTTCGACCAGCATAATAATTCTGCAAACATCGACAAGCAAAAAATCATCATAATTACCTTGGGATGACCCAATAGACTTTTAAACTTGATAATAAATAAATCATACCATCACTGAAATGCAAATATATGACATAAACGAGTATTGGTTGATTTATAGCACAATCGAGCTTTAAGGTTCTATTTTTATATTCTAATCAAGACAAAAGACTAACTCAAGCTGTTGTCGTTGGAAAAATTCACAGCACTCATAAGCAATACGGCTATCTATGAAACCCACAAGGTTGGCTGGTAACTACTAATTACACTCTTCACCTGCTGATTTTTCAAATAAAAATGAACTTAAAGTAGCACACATATGGTCATGAACTGACACACATACACACAAACAAAAAAATAAAAATAAGCAAATAAAGAAGTGAAATAGAGAGAGAGAGAGAGAGAGAGAGAGAGAGAGAGAGAGAGAGAGGAGAAAAAGTAAAGGAAAAGGAAATGGCTAACTAATATATTCAAGAGCTAAATAAAAATAAGACTTGCTACAGTACATTAGAAATTTTAGAATTAGGATATCAAAATTATTCTAGTACCAGCCAACCAGATCATCATTACAAATAAAATATTAATATCTCATTCATCGTGCTGCCACTTTTTTCACATTGTAATACCAGTCAAGAATAAAGTTTAGCGTTTTCACCTGAGTAGCATAGACATTGATAAAATACTGATATGGGGTTTCCAGGCGATGACAAGCAACATTGCAGCAGTTCCTACATTAAAATTTCCAAAATCAATTCAAGAAACTTTGTGAAATTTAATTCCTAGAAGGTACACATGCACAAAGACAAGAACAAAGTTGTCAAAAGGCTAGTTGAAACTTAAACCATCTATATATTGTGATATTAGATGCAGAACGCAGTTCTCTCGTTGCACAAGACATCAGTCAATTGTGTTAACTGTTAAGTTAATTCTAATAAAACTCAACCTCAATTTCCTCCAGAAGAAATTATTAGGAATACTGGTTAGGAGCATAAGATAAGAGAAGGCAGAAGCTAAACCAAACTGGATATATTTTCCATTTCAAGCTTGAAGCAAATGCAATGAGCTAACCATATTAATGAAGATATTAGCAGTTCCATCTTTGATCAGAGCTATTCAATGTTCAGCAAGTTAACGAACACAAAGCAACTAATCGTAGACAAGGCTAAAACCAGGATGAAATTTGTCAAAGTTATAAATCCTGCTCGGGAGGGCTACCTCAAGCAGGAGACTAATATTTCCCTTGAACATATAAATAATTATAGTTAAGAACATAATATCGTTTATTTTCTCAACCACCTTCTAAATAAGTGAGGTAATAAGAAATTGATAAGGTTTAATCCTTATAATAAACCTCAAGCAGAATACTTGAAAGATATTGAGACAGGAAAACCATATTGGAAAAAATAAAGTAATTATAATTAATTTCTAGTGTTTCTTCTATTAGTGAAGTTTCTAGAAAAAAATATATCAAAGCGCAATGCACCTTGGGTCGCTACGGAAACAGCCTCCTTGTATAATTACAAGGGTAAGGTCTGCGTACAACTGACCCCCCAGACCCCAACCTGTTGGGAATATACTGGGGTATGTTGTGTTGTTGTGATAGATGCTTTAAGAGTTTTAACTTATGTCTTCATGAAGACATAAACATTCACATTTTACTTTACGAACTCATGAATTATTTGGTGAAATATTTCTTTCTTTATATCAAGTAAAAGAGGATTGACAGGAACTAATGAGTACTAAGTGAAAGATCACAAGCACGAAAATACACATACCATATGCAATAGTAGCAAATGGCAGGCGAATTAAATGCTTCAACTTTTCGCTGAAACCATAGTACCCCTAGAAAAGCAACAGCATATCTCATTTTTTTTCCAACAGCATAGGCATCAAAAGTAATAATCAGGAATAAACGTGGAAACATATGGAGGTAATCATGGTTCTTCCTTGATAGACTCAGCAATGTGCATGATTAAGTTAAAAACCAAACAGAATTTGTAATTATATTTTCAGAAACCTCAAAACCATAAATTGGTGCAGGTTTACGGAATATGTTCAAACATAAATAAAACCTGAACAAAAACAAAAATGCCAAAATTTTCCATACTTCTGGTCTAAAGTTGTGCCATCAAAGCCATTGCAAAATGTAGCTTTTTATACATTCCATTTCTATGTACTATACAATAATTTCAGGCAAGTATTAGTATGAGCACAATCACCAGTCCTTCCCAACTACATCCCCAATTGTTCAAATTCCAGACAAAATTAATCATTTATCATCAAGCCCTTAGCAGCTCAACAGATTCACCAGTTGAATCCAAAATGCAATTCATCTACTTGATCGTATGTTCATGAAGGTACACCTCCATGATGAAGGCAATTCAATTATGCCAATCAGCATGTAACTTCACTGAATGATATAGCTGTGCGTTAATTTGGAATGCTTCATATAGGTCCAAACATTTGAACAAAGTTAAGAGTACATTTCTTTATGCCATCTAGCACTTTTGCTAATCCATAACAGAATCATGTTCATTGAGATCAGATTCTTTGATAACCACAGATATAAACAACGATCTGAACTGCTTGAAAGCAGCAAAATAGAAAACTTTGGAGCTTCAGAATGCTGAGAGGAAGGCAGTCTATAATATCAACTTCAAAATTCTCCTTTCAGTTATGATCAATAGATTTTCACAACAAAATTCTAGCAGCTAGAGTATGATGAACTATATACCTGCAGGCGTATCTTCTTGACTTGGTAAACCAGATATTGTTGAAATACGCCTGTAAATGTTTAAAAGAAAACTATCACTTGCAAATTTAATAATTCTCTGAACTTCAATGCCTTGGAAAGTATCATTATGGTCTGTGGGAGCACATAGTAAATTGCATCATAATCCATGGATGACTATAAATTTTACCAATATCTAACAAACAGGCATAAGAAAAGGATATGTCATTCTGGCACTTTTATAGGATTTTTATTAGGAAGAATATAAAAATAGCTGACGATTTAAACCAGGGAGTCAGGGCTGCCTTGCTCACATTTATCTACAAATTACCTCCATCTTTCAATTGCATCACTTTGGTCAGTCAATTTATAGAATTTCATATACAATATTAAATTAAATAATGGAATTACCAAAACATCCCTAGTTATGGTGAAAATACAAAATTACAGAAAAGTACAAAAGCAAAAGGAAAAAACAGAAACATTATTTCAGAGGCGGAATTTTCTTTTCAGTAATCTTCTTTAGCTATTGTGATCAGTTGTTTATAGCTAAGACAATCACATCACTGTTAATACTAGGCAGTAGCACCATAGTTATTTCTGTTTCCAAAAACATTGTGATTATCACAATGAAGAATCAGTTGCTAAGTGATGCAATAGAATAATATAGGTAGAAATATACATATATGCAGACATGAGTTGATTTAGATAAGCAAAAATATAACCCCAAGGGTGAAGCACATTATTTTCTCGTGCTTCATATCCACCCCTTCTATCTTCACATTCTGGAAATGCAAGTAATCCGCTACTTCAATCATATTAAATGCTTTAGATTCAGAACCCCAGACTGAGTTCATTGCTTATACATTCACAAGTTAACATAATCCAATTGTGTCAGAGCCTAATTTTCCAGCCAAAATCACATATGGCTGATGTTCATCATTCACAGTAACTAGAGCCAGAGAAACATGAACATCTAAAAACTACAAAAAAGCACAAACATATACTACGACAAGCAGAACAAAAGCAAATTTATGCAAGGAGAAGATTTCTCTAGAGATCAATCATAGAAATTTGGACAAACATTAAAGTCAATTCTCCAATTATATAAGGAAAGAATAAACCCAAAAACAAAATGGAAAGAGACCTGTGGCAACCAGAAGAATGACATCACAGCTACAGAGCAGTAGAACAATTAATTCCTGTAAGGAATTAAGTATCCAAGTAGCTCCCACAGCTAAAATCGCATAACCTGCCTAGAATCAAAGACATGTCAGTTTTTGCCAAATAATACTGCTGTCAGACCATCCCTAATAGGTAGCAGAAATGACTTGCCAATAGAAGACAATATAAGACACTTCCAACGATCCTCGTTCGCCTCCTATGACCACACAATGGAGCCTCTTGCAATATGTCAAGGAACCTGTCGCAACAGGTGGCAAAATCACCCTATCAAACAGACAAAAGACTGACTAAACGTGTCATAACATGAATGAGCAGATTTCTGCGGCCTCTTTAAAAATTGTTTCGATATAAATCCACGCAGAAGGTAACAAGATGGACTCGGAAAAAAAAAAAAAAAAAAAAAAAAATTCCAAGAAAAAGGCACATTGGCATAAGCCATCTTCCAAACTTTGACAACATAGTTTAAATTATGGTAGCTAACGACTTAATTGAAGCAACACACGCCATTGGCGAGAGAGGTATATCTGACGGCTCAAACTCATGTGTGGGCATCAGGGTCGAATTAACCGTACTTGAGAAACCTATAGGCACCTCAACTAAGCACAAGTAATCTACACAAAGACAAAACATCTTTACTCCATTCCAGGATACATCCTCACTCATGCAGAAGTAAAAGGACGGATAAATTCACCACTATACCTAAAAATACCACTTTAATTCAAGAATTACACAAAACTTTAGTATGAATAACTAAGAACAAACCATATCCAAGCAAGAAAAACAATCATAAAAAAAAACACCATTCCCAATTTAGACATCATTAATGAACTCGATTCCAGCAAAACTTACAAATTCCGTGCACCCACTAGCAAAACATTAAGAAAACCCTAAAGTCGTAAGCATTGATTAAATCAAAATACGAAGCTGCGCAAGAAAGAATCTCACAGGTTCGTTTCATCAGGGGATGCGGCGAAAGAAGAAGAATGCCTGTCCATTGACATACTCGAACAGAAGTAAAATTTTATCTACAATTGAAGCTGTTCCGCTAACTCAAGGTTTTCCGACGGCTTCTCGGCTGGATTTGGAGCTCATTTGCTGTCTGTAAAGTTCTCAACGCCCCTCAGTTATTCTTCTCAGAGGTGGAAATGATCGTCCCGTTCCTACTTCCTCCTAACACCACCCCGTAGAGCATTGTCGTTTTGGAGATTGAGGAATTTAAAAAAAAATAAAAAATAAAAAAAAAAAAGTATATATACAAATAAAATTAATTGATGTATTCAATTAGAATTTCTAATGCCGGGTGTCAAATTTATTACTCTAATTGGGGTTCGACACTTCGGTATTATCCCGTTGGGATCTTGTCCAGTTGTTCTTGTTGTTTGTGTCGTCGTTTTATTACCCCGTGCGGGTCTTGTCTAGTTGTTTAGTTTAGTCGCGAGTTTTTCTTCCTAGCGATTGCTAGCCGGGTTTCTAGGCGGTCTCCGGGCATGTCCTCCCACTTTTCAGTCGTTGACTGCTTGTATTCGCACATTTGTGCGCTTTTGATTTATAGTAATTTCTATCGTTTTGGTAAAAAAAAAAAAAAAGAATTTCTACTGATTTTTAAAATTTTGAAAAAATTCTAGTGCATTCAATTTATATTTATTAAGACTTTTTAAGTATTTTAAATATTTTAGGGTATTCAGTTGAGATTTAAAAAGTCTTATAAAATCATACGGTATTTAATTTATTTGACACTGGAATTTGGTAGAACTTTTTAAGATTTCGTGAGATTTCCAAAGAAAAAACATTATACGAAATCTCACTTGAAATTCCACCTCTAGAGATTTCACAGCATTTCTTTAAAATCTTAAAATGTCACTCAAAATTTCAATTGAATACATGCCCTAAGTGTGTATTCATTGGGATTTTTAAAGACTTTTAATTTGTAGAGATAACCTTAAATATCCTGATGTATTTAATTTAGACTTTTAAAAGTCTTTAGGTATTCGATTTATAAAAGTTTTACAAAATCTTAAGGTATTTAACTTATTTCACACTATAATTTGTTAATACTTTTTAAGATTTGTTTGAATTTCTAAAGAAAAAAACATATGTGAAACGTCACTCCAAATGTCTAGATGGTATTCTTTGGGGCAAGTTATTAAGGAAGTTTGTGGTATTGCGACGGGACAAGTAGAATAAACCCTTTTGGGGTTTCATCCAGAAGCAGTAGAAGAAGAAAGTTGGATAAAAGGATTGAAGAATGAAGCGGCTAATAATGGAAAAACCCACAATGAAACGAATGACACTGGAAGCAAAGTGGTTCTAGGGAACTCTGTAGAGTCGAGATAGGTCCAAGAGGTCAGATTTTAAAGGAAAAGATTACCTGGCGTACACCTGGTTTACGAAGAACACGTGAAAGCCCTCGCGAGGCTTGGTAAAGAAGTCTCCAGCTCTTGGGAGACGAATCTCACAAGATTGAGAAAGCTCACGAGAATGTTTGAAGAACATTAGGTCGGTGTCAGACCAGATTGACAGAGGAATAGGTCTTGTGACCTGGACCAAGCTAGAATAGGATGGCCTGCGCACCTTTGGCAACGGTTACTTCGGCAGGTCGATGAGAAGATATAGCAACAACTATTGGGGTGGGCTTAGAGAAAAAGAAAGTTGCCCATTAAGGAATTCATATGGTTTTGAGAAGAATATATCGAATAAGAGATGGTAGAAAAGGAAAAATCCGACCTTAGTGGTCCTCGATGAAGAAAAATGAAAAACCAATGACTAATGAGTGAGAAATACAAAGGGAAAATATATAAGTTCAAAACATACCCATCAAGCTTCTAGGGCGCAAGATCAATGAGGTCTCGGGTTCATAAGCCGTGATGCGAGTTTAAGTATCAAAACAACTTCTTAAGAAATTTAAGTAAAAGAGTGTTGGGGAAGAAATGTGAAAATGGTAGAAAGAAGGAAAGTTCTTATAATGCACATTAAGAAACATAAATCTGACCGTTGGGGGACGCCCAAATCAATGGCTCAGAATCTCGCCCAGAATTTGATAAGGCGTATCCACGTGGTCAGTGTACGTATGGCGAGATCCGAGCATGTAAATTTTTTTTTTTTCGCGCCTCGTGCTCTCCCAAAATTACTCCATACATTGGACAAAAAGGAAGGTCAAATTCAAATTCACGCATGTAAGTCCAATTTAGCACAAGGTCGGTTAGCTCGGACTGCAATGAGGGGTCTAGATGATATAGCACCCATAAATAAGCTCGGCGCATCGGTATGAGAGAGTAGCTCGGCTAAATTCAGGCTAGGAGAACTCTCGTTGGTATAGAGACAGGATGCTCGAGCCCTCTTGATACCTTCAGGATATTAGGTCATCTGGTGTACTTCAAGTCCATGGGTCCTTAAGTGGTCTAAAGTCTAGGTCATCCAAAGACCTCATGTCGTGCACTTTCAGGTCGTCTGAGGGTAGGGGTTATGGTATCCAGGCTCTATGACCTCTAGGTCGTTCTTCCCTTTGGTTGAGCTCTCTATACATATAATATTTTCGGTTTATATATCAGGATGAGGCTATGCCGTATTCATATGAAGTACATGTAATATGGATTGTGTATATAGTTTTGTTGTATAAATATATTTTTATAGTCGCCTTCGTAAGTCTATGGTGGGACTCTAACGAGTTGAATATGAAATAATATTGATTTCATACAAATCAATGAAGACGATTATTGAGTGGGAGACAAATTATTAAGCATATTTATCAAGTGCCCGGGTTAGGTACTTGAGTAGTATATAGACTAAAGATTCGTATAACATAGTAGAGTGACATATCTATCATAGTGGGAGCTATGTTATGACACGTAGATCATACTGCGTGTGCTTTTGAACGGTCGTTATAAGATTGACAACTATTTCCTACTTTGTCATGGTATGAATCCTATGGATTTTGTTTTTCAACTTTGTATGAAACTTTTCGACTAAAAACTATGTTATGTAATCGAGACTTGTTGTTGCTACTTTAATATGTCCTCCAAGAGTTATGATCAATACAAATTGCGGAACATGTTAGGAAATTCTTTTTTTTTAAAAAAAAAAAAGAAAAACTTAGTTGAGATGAAGTTTCAAAGTGTCTAAGGAATAAAAAAAAAAGAAAAACTTAGTTGAGATGAAGTTTCAAAGTGTCTAAGGAATAACTGGTTCAACTTCACCACATAAGCCCGAGCGGTAAAATTTTATATAACCATGTTGTGTATATAGTATTTAGAGATTGTGTATGCTATCCGTATTTTTTTAACAGTTAGAGGTTGTCATATGTATAGCTAGGTGATTCTTTAATATAACACTGTTATTGTTATTTTTGGTCACACGCTATTACACGTTTGAGACAAGAAATTTGTTAATAAAGAATTATGTTGATGATATAGTCTTGACTTAATTGACTGGGTGGGAATATTGTTAGTAATTTATGTCTCATGCTTCAATTACTTTGTAACATCCACTTAGCGGTGAAGTTGTTACTCATCTCCATTATGTATGGATTTATGAGTGAGGATTGAAGGCTTCATTAATGTATAGATGAAAAGAGACACGACACGAAGAAAATAATTGAGTTTATATCATCAAAAGTAATCTCTAAGCGTATTTTTCACTCGTTGAGCGAAAATTATCTTAAAGCGGCTCGAATTTTAGAGCGTGGAAGATAGTGATCCGCTAGTAGTCACTAAATTAAAGATAAAAACAAGTTTTCGCGTCTACTACAAAATTGTTAGTTCTATATCTATTTATATGTATGTTATATAAAACTACTAATATGGTGGAAGTAGGATAAAATATATTGAACTAGATTATACGGGGAAAAAACAAAATTTTCTCAATCTATCGTATGCTAGTTTTAATGGATTGGTCTAATGGTGTACAGTGATACTAAATAGACCAAAACATATTCCCATCTTATCCATATAGAAAATTATTATTTTGAGATACATAATTTCATATTAAAGTTGATACAGCATAAATGTATGGATTAAATAAAAAAAATAACCCAGTCTATAAAACAATGGAATTGTGTCATAATTGGAATTGTGTCACATATACAACATTATTGTATCACATATACACATGAGTAATGTTCCCCTACCCACGATAGACACATGTTAATATGCTCACCGTTTATGTGGCATGCACACATTCGTGATGTCTCGAGTTCGAGTCCTTGTGGATGCAGAAAACCCTTGATGGGAAACTCACCCACCACTGCCAGATGTGCGACCCAGGTCGACCAACGAATTAGTCGGGAGCCCGGATATCGTGGCTGGCTACCAAAAAAAATACATCACCAATGAGTGCATGTCACATAAGCGGTAGACATATTAACATGTGTCAACCATGGATAGGGGAGCATTACTATATATAGTCAAACTTTATGTCCGTATACCATAATCCATCTACATATGTTTATACTTCTATATATTTTCATATTTTATGTACACGTTTTAATTTTATATATCCACACATAAGTTATTAGTATGAATTTATTCAAGGCTTGTAAACTAACTGAAAGCTGCAGTCTACAATGGGACATATAATTAATATCCTAATTTATGAAATAAATTATATTCCCCTGCCCACTGTGGGCAGGTGAGCGGGACTGTTTATGAAATATACGAATTCGTCCGGAGTTTGGTTAACCTCCATTGAGGAATTAGTAGAGAAAAGTAGAGGTAGTTGGAGTTTGATTTGAATTTAAATTCTGATAGTCCTAATTTATATTGACCTTTGAGCAATATGAGATTAATAAAACAATTGGTTATTATCTTTTATTTATTTATTTATTTATTTATTTATTTATTTATTGGTGCAATTTTAAAGCTATTCAACAATTTTACACAGCCTAATCTGTTTTCATTGGATATGAGATAAATAAAGGGTGTTGATTTTTGCCGCCCCCTTTTCGATTATTACCGCCGCCCTAAAAGTCGTTTTTGCCCTTTCTAATAAAAAAAAAAAATACATTCATTATTCACTTTACATATTTTTTCTCCCGGTTCCGGACTTCGAAAAATTCCGAAAAAAATTCCGACCTACTCCGGCGACGACGATGGCGGCGAGTAAGGTAAAATTTTTTTTCCTCGGCGGCCGGCCGGCCGGACCGGCCGGTTCATCCCTGGCCGGCCGCTTATGCTGGCCGGCTCAGGTCTAGCCGGCCAATGTTGCCGGCCGGCCCTTGGTCAATGTATTTTGACTTTGGCCGGCCGGTCCATTTTGGGCCGGTTTTGTGAACCGGCCAGACCTGAACCGGCCGGTCTGGCGGGCCGGCCGGCCGGCGTCATTATTTTTTTTTAATATATATTATATATAATTATATATTTATAATAATATACGAAAATATATATTTAATTATATATTTAAAAATATATATTCAAGATATATTGAAAATATAATTATATATTTAAAAGCATTAAATATATATAATTATAATATACGAAAAATTATTATATATTAATTACATATAATTAATATATATATAATTATTAAAATATATATTAAAAATAATATATATGAAAAATAATTAATATACGAAAATATTAAATATTAAAAATATTTTTAATACTAATATTTTTAGTCATATATATATTATTATTAAAAAGTAATAAGTATTTTTAAAAT